TTTTAATTTCATTAATTACAAAAAAAGGGACAAAATTCAATTCTTATTCAAAAAGGGTCAAAACCCTTAGGACGTTCCCGATTTAATTCTCGCGCACATTTATTTATTTTGTTTGTTTATGTAACTGTCTCTAGATATGTAATAGTTAAATAGGAATTTTACCGCTTTATTTACTATTTCTCGCACTTTATTTCCAAACGGGTTTTGTTTTTTGGCGATGTATGGACCCACGCCTTGTAATAGTTAGATTTACATTTCCGCAATTTATTTTCCGCACTCCTAACTGTTAACAATGCATGAAAGAATGTATGTAAATAAAATTAATTTGTAGCTCACAAATAACATGTACAAAGACAATTAACTGAAAAACAACACACAAAGCACATGCCACTCCTAGGGTACGCCTTACTGGTTGCCTCGACGTGGTCATCAAGTATAGGGTGTCTTAGAGGTCGCCCTTTTGTCTAAAGATCCAGTTGCCTCGAAACGGTTGCCTCGGATTAAAAAGGATCTAGGACATTAGGGTTACTTCTAAGGTGTCCTACCATTGCTTCAGTGACCACACTGTCCCGATAATCGAATTGACCTGAATAACTCCAACGATGATGCTACCTACCTCTCAATGGTGGGATAGCACTATCTAAAGGACTCTTACACAGCCCAATTCCTTAGAGTAGGTAGATTCTCATGGGTACTTGCTCTTTTCAAAACAAACAAAAACAACTTTTCACACCTCACACTTTCAAAAAGTTTTCAAACAAATTTTTCATACACTCTTGAGGACTGATACAAGAGTTACTTAGAAATTTTTCAAACGAAACTTTTTCAAAACCCACACACATTTGAAAAGCAAATAATTTTTGAAAACATAAGAGCAAGTACCTAAGAGCCCGTGGATAACCACGGATAGAAAGGGTGCTAACACCTTCCCTTTCTATAAATCTACCTCCCGAACCGAGAAACATTCTCGAATAAGGAATTTTGCTGTGCTTTTGTCCTTTCCATGTTGGAGAATATAAAAGACGGTGGCGACTCTTGCTTACCGCGACATTTCGCGAAACCAGCTAAAAAACAGTCAGTTCTATTTCCACCGATCACAGATGACCATTGCCCGTCCCTTTTACATCCAAAGATTGGGTTACTTACCAAATCAATGGTAAGATAACAATGTCAAAGGAAAAAGAAAATAAACATGAAAGATTTTTTGAGTAGGTAGATTATTCCTAGTTGCTTGCTCAATTTCAAACCAAAACATCCTTGTTATTTTCAAAACAAACACCAACACTTTCAAAAAACATCTTTCAAACTTGAAAACATTTTCAAAAGATCAACACTTTGTATACATTCTTACGAACGAGAATCATTACAAAGTTTGCCTAAACGATGACACCTTTTCAAAATACTTTCAAAAACTACACAAAGCATATTTTCAAATAAAAGCAAGTGATCTAACAAGCAACTAAGAGCCCGTAGATGACCACGGATGAAAAGGGTGCTAATACCTTCCCTTTTCATAATCTACCCCCCGAACTCAAGAAAACATATCAAAGGCCTTTCCTGTTCTTTTCAGTCTTTCCTTTTGGATAAAGGAAAAGTCGGTGGCGAATCTTGCTAAACCGTAACATTTGCGATCAAACGCAAAACAACCAAGTCAGGTCTCCCACCGTGTTACACTATGCAGTTGGAATGGTTAGCAGATTTATGATTAAATCAAAGTGGTCTCATTACCAAGTTGTTGTCAAGATTCTGAGATATGTGAAGGGAACTCTGAAGTATGGAGTGTTATTTCCTTCAGGAAGGAAGATCGAATCAGAACTTGAGTTATTCAGACTATGATTGGTGTAGAAACAGAGTTGACAGAAGAAGTACTTCTAAGTACTTATTCAAATTTCTGAAAAGTCCAATTTCTTGGTGTTCCAAGAAGCAACCTGTTGTTGCACTGTCGACCTGTGAAGCTCTGACTGCATACCAAACTGTGTGGATTCTGAACTCACTGCAAGGTCTGGATATTGAGGTAGACAAACCTCTGAAGCTGATGATTGATAACAAGTTTCCAATCAATCTTGCCAAGAACCCAGTGCTGCATGGGAGAAGCAAGCATATTGAGACCAAGTATCACTTTCTGAGGAATCAGGTTCAGAGTGGAATACTAGAAGTTGTGCACTGTAGCATCCAGAAGTAACTGACGATGTTCTAACAAAGGATATCAAGACTGATCAATTTCTTCGTTTGAGGGATGAAATTGGTGATGTGAGTTTTGTGTAAATATAAATTAAGGGATAGTGTTGGAATTAATTTATATTTTAAGAATATCTTATTGATTAAGTTTGTTAAAAAGTACTTTAGTATTTTATTATACCATAATTTTGTGTATAAATAGCCTAATAGTAGATATGTCAATGTAATTCATTATTTCTTATTTTGTAATTGTCATTCAATATATTCCTTTTATCTTTCATCTCTTCTTTATACACCAACAACTAGATGTTTAAGTTGTCCTGCACTATTCTATTAGGCAAGGCTTATCAAAGATTCAATTTAATGTTAAAATAACACTAGAGGTTTTGTTTCGTTTAGTCTCTATCAATTATTAACAACTATTTTGGAAAGTAACAACTGTTTTGTTACAATGGAGAAGAGGTGGGATCTTATAATATGGATTCTAGCTTATGTGGGTCACGTAAGCATGCTTTTATGATTATTACCAGTTATTTTTTCTCTTGGTTATTGAAAATGTATATGATACCACGCCAAATTTCTCACTAATTGATTCTATGGTAAATATCAGAACCAATGAAGATAAAAAAAAAGGTTAAAGATTACTTTGTCTGAATTGGTACTCAAGCTAACGAGGTATAGGTTGTTTGGCATTCAGATGCAACTCAAAGGTAAAATATATAGTTCATTCCCTTTGATGGTTTCACCTTTGTTGGTTACTCTCTCTATACAAATATTCAGATATTCACCTTTGATGTTATCTATCATTTATTGGAAATATACATGGACTTATAGAGTATTTTCTATAGCTGCAACTTGTTTAGACGTGAATGTGATGAGATATTCAGTTTGAATCACAACAGTAGAATGAACATGCTTTTCAATTTTTTTTTATGCTTTAAATTTTGGATGCTCTTGTGCTTGCGTGATATCAGAAAATTTTGGAAGATTTGCAGTCGTAAGAGTTGCGGCAGTTTTGAAGCAACCTCCGCCACTTACCACAGTAGCTGCGAGCTTAATAAATAATCTGGAAACCTCCGCCAATTAATTTTTACCGCACTAACTCAATTTTTTATTCGGTTAGGCTAATCATAGTGAATTTGGGAGTACAATTAAATTCAAGTAAGATTGCAAGTTTAATAGGGTCTGAAATCTGAACTTTTTGTCAAATTTAGATAGGTTTCTTCTTTGAAACCAACAAGTTAGATGTGATTCAAATACACATTTACTAGAAATGTGACTGTTGGTGATGTTATTTTGTTGATCCTTCGTATTGTGTCTTCAAGTTGTTAGGTGATTTGAGTGGAAAATTTCATTGTTGAAGATTATGCCTCATCACATTTACTTTTGTTTTGCCCATACTCATGCCCAATTGTAAGCTTCATCTTCTTTCTATGTCTTTATAAATAATGAGTAACTACTAATTTTCAGCAAACATTTCATATCGTTCAATTCAGGTTGGTAGGCAGCGAATCGCTTCATAGAGAAATTCAAATCTCGTCAACCAAGGTATGCAACACAGGTGATTTCATTTCATTTATCTTTACTTTTTATTTTTTATGATTTCATCATATTTGTTTTATATAGCAGCGATACTTCTTCACCCTTTTCAAGGGTCCAGGAGGGTTCTAAATCTCTTAAGTTTAAATTTTCTATTGTTTGTTGTGCATGAATAGAAGAATCATTGAGTCCGAGTACTGAAAATGGAGAAGAATTAGTCATGGCATAACAATTGTGATCTATCTCAAGTCATATATGTACTTTTTACTTCTTGTTTTCTCTTTTTTTCTTCTTTCAGTTTTAACATCTCTTATGTGTACGTTTCTTGGTTGTATAATCATTGTAATTGTTATAATGCTAATTGCTAATGCCTTGATGCTTTTCTTGTCAGCTGAAAATTGTATTTTAAAAAAATGACGTTTTATGGCCTTGCCAAAAGTTAGGTATTCACTTCAAGAGTCTAAAAATATGATTGTTGTGAGCAATGCAATTGTCAATCTTACTTAGTGGGATAAGACTTGGTTGTTATTGTGAGCAATGCGATTTTGAATTGACTTACTATAAAATTTATATGACTTAGTGACTTCAAGGCTGATTGGAAATTTGGAATCATAGAGCAACAAAGTTAGGAAATCTCCAATTTTCAAGTTTTGCACAAAACATGTCAAAAACTATTTTTAAAAGCTTGTAGAATCTGCATTAACTATATTTGACATTTGACTTATAGAAATCAATATGAAGACCTGACCAAACATTAATAGGAAAAACCAATGTCTTTTCAATCCAACTCAAACCCCTTCCTATAGCTAACAACAAACTCTCATACACCTCTTTCTCATCAGCAACAGATTTCAAAACACTCTCCATCTCCTTGCATCTTCTTGTAACATACTCAAATTCTACTCTCGTTTGGATGAGAGATCTAATGTTTCCCTTCCTGCTCGTCTTGAGCATTTGTCGAATAAATTAAGGTACCTCCATTGTAGTGCACATATCCTTTGAAGTTTCTACCATCAGCTTTTTCTCTTGAGAAACAGCCTTACATGCCAAACAGCCGCATTCAAAGATTATGGGACGTAGTGCAGGTTTGTGGCTTGAAATATATGACTAATTTATACATCGTATAATATGTGATCAAATTTTTTTTGTTTGTTACACGATCTAATTAATTTAAAGAAAATGAACCTCAGTTGTTGTGAGCACTTGATAGAGCTTCCTGATTTCTCCATGGTATCAAATCTCCAATCCATTAACCTCTCTAGACATATAAGGTTACGCCATGTTCATACATCTACTTTAGCGCTCCAAAAACTTGTCAATTTAAACCCGGTTTGGTGCAAAAAGCTCAAGAGTCTTATAAGCAATTCCCCTTTCAACTCTGAATTCTCGAGCTCTATGGGTGCCCAAGTCTCAAGGAATTTTCTGTGATATCTACAAAACTGACATAGTTGGATTTAAGATGATGTATTGGTGCTCAAGATGTTGTAGCTACGGAATTGGAGCTGAGTAGCTATGGGCACCTTAGATATCTTCCAAATGAGTTCTAATGCTTGAAATCTCTTGGTCATCTGATACTTTCTGATTGCATGCTACTTGACATATCGAATCTGCATCTTTTATTTGATGGCCTGCGTTCTTTAGGATACTTGTGTCTGGACAACAGTTGTAATCTGACTGAACTGCCTCACAACATTAGTCAGTTATCATCATTATATTATTTATCACTCAGCGGGATCAATGTGAAGAACATTCCTATAAGCATCAAGCATCTTTCACATTGACTTGTGAAAATGCATGAGCATTTAGTCTCTACCAGAACTCCCACCATAATCCATTGAAGTGTTAGATGTCACCAACTGCACATCCATGGAGACCCTCTTCACCTCTCCTGTTATTGATGAACTATTACTCCTGAAATTGTGCGAAATTGAATGAATTCTCCCGAAATGTTATTATGTTAGATGCCCAAGTCAGACATATGTTCATGTATCAGCAAAAATAGAAGGGAGGGAGAGTGACCCTTGTTACATTTTTTAATTAGGAGGTTACGTTGTCTTATCATCATCCTCCAACTGTTATTTTTCCAGGAAGTGGATTTCCAGACTGGTTTCCCTATCAGTCAGCTAAAGCATCAATTACTATCAAACTTTCACTTTCACATTCTCCACAATCCAACATATTTGGTTTCATTTTCTGCCTCATTCAGTCAGCTAAATGCGGATTTAGCCTCTATTTGTTTCTGCCGAGGAGGCGGTTCAAACGAGTGTCTACTTCAAAGCTACAAGTTGTAGCTTCTCAAATGTCAGAGCCAATTTGCATTAGGATTAAGAAATTGTAGTATTATTGAGTAAAAACTATATGCTATTATTGCAATTATATACTTGAAACACAACTACAGGGGGTTCTCAGACCCTCGACGGATACACTTGTCTCCTCTATAATAATCAGTAGTTGTAATATTTCCAATGGGTAATTTAACTGGAACTGAATTAGCTTTTTATATATTTTCTAAACATATTATTGTTTTGTTTAGTTTGTTTATAAGAAAAGTTTATGTTTATGTTTGAGTTTTCTATCTTCTGTTAGAATAATCCCTATTTATTAAGGAAGTAGACAATAGGTTATTTGTTCATACACTTTCATACTTCAAAATCTATAGACATGATGGTTAGTACATAAATTTACATTAAAAGACTGCAGAGATTTGAAAGTTATATCATATATTGAATTTGAGGCTGATTGGAACCATAAGCAACAAAGTAGGAAATCATCATTTCTCAAGTCAAAATTTTGCCCAAAACATTATTAGAAAACATTTTAAAGGAAATCAACAAGACATGACCAAATACTATAGAAAAAACCAATTCAAAAAGACAAAACTAATATGTTCAATATCTCACAGATTCCAGAATGTCTTCTCAATCCAAGTCAAATCTCTTCCTATAGTTAACAACATACTCATACACCTCTTTCTCATCAGCAACAGATTTGCAAACACTCTCCCTTTGTTTGCATCTCTTTGCCCAAGCAATCAGCTTATCACACTCTGCCTCAACTTTGAAGTTGCATAACTCCTCATAAGTATAAAACCAACTGTAGAAAGGGATCAAAGCAATATCAACAAACCCAAATGTGTGACCACCAAAATAAGGTTTGTCTCCAAGCACATTCTCCAATTCCTTTAACCCTTCAATCAACTCTTTTTTTGCCACTTCAATCTCATCTCTCTTCCCAGGCCATATCCTCCCCCCAACATCACCAATCTGCAAAAGAGAGAAATTAAATATTTTTATTGTCTAGTATGCAACTATAACTTATATGTTAAGTCATTGAATTGGCTATGTAAACTCACCTTCTTGTTGACAAAATCAGCCCAAAATTTTTCTTGAGATTTGTGATAAGGATCTGAGGGTAGAAATGGAACTCTATCATTCCAACCTTCATCAATATACTCAACAATATTTATAGACTCACAAATGGGTTTTCCCTTATGGATAAGAACTGGAATCTTCTTGTGAATTGGGTTCATTTGCAAAAGCAGTTGGCTCTTGTTGTCAAGATCTTCTTCCTTGTACCCATACTTTATCCCTTTTTCAGCCAATGCTATCCTTGCTCTCATACCAAACATACTGAGCCATTCATCTAACAATATCAATTCCTCTGCCATTTTTTTCAAAGACAACCAAAGTACTGCAGAGAGAATCAACCAAAACAACTTTTTAAGAGATTGTGACTTTTTTGGCAGTGGAATATCACGTGTGTGGTATAAGACAGTTGGCAAGTCATAAGAGCAAGAAAGTGATGAAAAGTTGACATGTAGGTAACCAATTTCTTTATTCTCATGTTTTTATTTATTTATTAATAAATAATAATAAATTTGTCCGTACATACGAGTTCTGATGTGATATGCGTATTTATTTATATAATATATTTATTTTAAGATTAATGAATTTTTTGATCGTTTTAAATATTTCAAATTTTCTTTTTAGTTTTTTTAAAAAAATTTCTTTAAAAATTGTTTTTCCTAAAAATTTAATATTTGGTCTCTTCAGCCATTTAACAACAGTTTTTATAATTTAACGACAGTTTTTTGTGACGGTTTTTAATTTAGCGGTAGAATTTGAGACTATTTTAACTATAATTTTGTCATTAAGAACCAAAAGTTAATTTTAAATTTTTAGAAAAATTAGTTTTTGAAGAAAATTTTTATAGGAACTAAAAATAAAGTTTTAGACAGTTAAAAAGATCAAAAAATTCATTAATCCTTTATTTTAAATAGAAGGTTAAAAAATAAATAAAAAATTAGATTTTTTCTCGTATGCTATTTTTGAATCATAAATATTTGGATCATAAATAATATTTTTTTTATATAAAAATATTTAGATTAATAATAAATTATATATATATATATATATATATATATATATATATATATATATATATATATATATATATATATATATATATATATATATATATATATATATATATATATATATATATATATATATATATATATATATATATATATATATATATATATATATATATATATATATATATATATATATATTATTTTTGTTTATGTATAGTTTACAAAAATATTTAAATCAATAGTATATAAAAATATATAGATCAATAATAGATTATTTCTCGTATACTATTTTTGAATAAAAAATATTTGTATCATAAATATCATTTTTCATATAAAAAAATGTTTAGATCAATAATAGATTTTTTTTCTGTATACAAATATTATTTTAGTTTAATATCGTTTACAAAAATATATATGGATCAATAGTAAATTATCGTATATAAAAATATTTAAATCAATAATATATATTTTCCCGTATACTATTTTTGAATAAAAAATATTTGAATCATAAATATAATTTTTTGTATATAAAAATATTTAAACCAATAATAGATTTTATCTCGTATACAAATATTATTTTTGTTTATGTATCATTTACAAAAAAATCTAGATCAATAATAAATTTTCATATATAAAAATATTTAAGTCAATAATATATTTTTCCTTTGTATATCATTTTTGAATAAAAAATATTTAAATCATAAATACAATTTTTCGTATATAAAAATATTTAGACCAATAATAGATTTTTCCCATATACAAATATTATTTTTGTTTAGATATTGTTTATTATATTTGGATCAATAGTAAATTTTCGTATATAAAAATATTTAAATTAATAATATATTTTTTCCCGTATATAATTTTTGAATAAAAAATATTTAGATCATAAATATTATTTTTCGTATATAAAAATATTTAGATCAATAATAGATTTTATTTCGTATACAAATGTTATTTTACTTAGATATCATTTACAAAAACATCTGGTTCAATAATAAATTTTCAAATATAAAAATATTTAGATTAATAATATTTTTTTCTCGTATATTATTTTTGAATCAAAAATATTTAGATCATAAATATTAGTTTTTATATATAAAAATATTTAAATTAATAATAAATTTTATTCCATATAATTAAATGAAAAAGAATAATTGATATTAAGTAGGAAGTGTAAAGTATATGAAAATAAAATGTTTAAATGGTTGTAAAACATTACTAAAAATGTAAGGTTGAAATAATTGTTTTTTAGAGTAATAGCTTCAAAGTTTTTGTTTCTCATGAATAAAATAATGGAGACATTGGGAACTCAAATGTGTGCTGGAAGTTAATAAGAAGGCGTGTGGATATGTATACAGAAAAGTGCACTGATTTATAGCATACAAAAGTAGTATTACTTTTTATTATGCAGTTCTCAAAGTATACTATAATAAGAATCTAATGGATAGTCACATCACAGCAGGTTCCATAGAATAGCTGTACAATTATAGAGAAGATGTTTGGGGATGGGTTAGTCAGTATGTTTAGTACAAAATTACTCTCTCAAAAAGTATCTATTTTTTAGAGAAAAAATAATTTTTACAAATTATGGAACTTGGTCTGAACCATGAAATATAAACACACTTAGATATTTATCCAATAATTTATTAAAACATTAATTTGTTATGTATTTCAAATAAAATACACTTATTTCTCTAAAATCTATTTGGATGAGATCTTTCATTTATTGATGCATAAATATAATAAATAGTGATTACGTATTAAATTTAGTCTGTAAAATAAATTTAGATGTATTAAATTTAGTCTGTAAAATAAATTTAGATAAATAAAAAATAAAATTGTTATAATAAAAACATATTTAATTCTATAACTTATAATTATTAAGAAAAAGTATTATCAATTTCATACTTTTGTGAAGAGGACAACAACTAATTTATTGTTCTAGATGATATAAAGAAAAAAGTAAATAAATAAAAAAATAAAAAATAAAATTACAAATGAAAAAATAAAAAATAAAATTATTATCAATGTCATACTTTTATGAAGAGGACAACAACTAATTTTACTTAATCTTCTTGAATGCAAAATAATTATTTATCTTACACAAACAAAAAAAGAAATTAAGAAAAAGAATATAATATAAAAATAGAAATATGAGGAAAGATTATAACTTCAAGTGAGGAAATATATATGAAAAATAAAGTTTAATTTGAAAATAATAAAGAGAGAAAAATATATAGTAATTAAAATGTTAGAACATCTCTATTCGGGAATCTATTTTTGAATTTTTTGTGAGATTTATTAAGTCACGTCAGTTTAAAATAACTCAATTGATTTTTCACTCTAATGATACATCTAAACAATTCATATTGGATTCCACAATTTTACTTTATATATTAATATTTTATTCATATTAAATTTTATATCATTTAAAATAATAATTTTAATTATTTAAATTAAAATTGATATAAAATAAATAAAATTCAAACTAAATTTATAATTTAAAATGATAATTAAAATTAAGGTAAAATATTCATTTTGATCCTTTAATTATACCATTGGATTTACATTGGTCTCTTAACTTTTTTTTTGTGTCGTTTTGGTCCCTTAACTTTTAAAACGTTTCATTTTAGTCGTTTTTATATAATTAACGACGGATTTCAAAACTTTTTCATCGCTAATTAGATAAAAAATGACTAAAATGAAACTTTTTTAAAGTTAAGAGATCAAAATGACACGAAAAAAAGTTAAGAGACCAATATGAATCTAAGAAATAGTTAAGGAATCAAAATGAATATTTTATCTAAAATTAATTTCAAATACATGACATATAACTAAAACAATAAAAATAAATAACATCACATAAATTAATCAAATTTAATACGTAATAAAATAAATAAATAAATCTAATTAAACTTAAATTTTATAAATAATTAAAGTAAAAGAAATTATAAAAGTGTTAAAGAAAATTAACTTTATTAAAGAAAAATATTAATTATAAAACTGTTAATATATAATAAAGTTAATATATAAAATTTATAAATAAATAAATTATTAAAAAGAATTAATAGAATGAAAGAAAACAATTTTGTTATTAGTTTATTATTTCTTTAGTTCGAAGAACGTTGCATTACATAGACAACTTCACCGGTATTCAATTTGTATACTGCATTTGTCATGCTGCAAAAATGGTGAAGAAACTTCCATTAGAGTTACTATTAGTGGAACCTACAAAACCACATCTTCATCAAACAACTTATTCAATTTTTACTTTAATGATACAATTTTAAATAATTTATAATAAATCTCATAATTTAATTTCATATATTAATATTTTATTTAGTATTAATTTTTTTAACTTACAATATTAATTTCATAACTTAAAAACAAATAATTATGAAATAGTAAAGTTAATATATTATTGAACAAACATTAAGAGAAATGAAAATTTTTAAGAGTAATGCTAATATATACTTCAAGAGAAATGAAAATTTTATATTGGAAAAGACAATGGAAAAAATTAATTTTTAATTAAAATAATGCAAAATTTTAAATAAAGTTTTTACATTTAAGTTTTAACTAGTCGATAACCCGTGCTGTCGCACGGGGCCGGTCGAGAATTCATAAAACGTGGAACTAATGTTGTCATGTAACAGTAAATTCGTTTTTATGTAATTCAATAAAAGTTCATCTAATTCAGCCAAATTTAGTGTATCAAACTTATTTGACAACATTAAAAAATGTAAACTGAAATCATGATTGTGTAACAAAATAAGAAACTGTGATGACTCTTCAAAATAAGAAACTATCACGAGTCTTCAGATACAACGCAACCAACTTGGAAACGATGTTTTCAACTTTTTGACCTGCACAATAAATTATGCAAAAATTAGACAGCATTTACGGAAACAATTTATATTAAAGAAAATATTTGTTATTATGTACTTACCGATCAACAAAGAGATTGGAAAACTTCTTTGTATACAACATTTGTAGTGATAGATGTTGATACATTCATACTATCATGTATTAAGATCTTTAGACCACTTTTGCTTGTAACTCTTGAAATGGCTACATACAACTGGCCATGACTGAATACAGGAGTAGGCAAATACAATCCAACTGTATCAAGTGATTGGCCTTGAGACTTATTAATTGTCATTGCGTACGACACAATAATTGGGAACTGTCTCCTAATCAACTTAAATGGCCACGGTGACTCGGAAGGTGACATAGACATTCGAGGGATGTAAAAGATGTTACCAACATTCTTACCAGACATGATCTTT